CTCATGTGGCTCAATATAAAAAAAACAAAGAACCCAATCAAAAATGGGCCAATGACCTAAAAAAAAACATTTATCCAAGGAAGAAAGATGGCCAAGAGGCACATGAAAAGATACGCAACATTGCTAATTATTAGAGAATTGCACATCAAAATTACAATGAGGGAATTTCCTAGTGGTCCAGTGACTAGGACTCCATGTTTTTAGTGCTGAGGGCCCAGGTTCAACCCTGGTTAGGGAACTAAGATCCTGCAATTCGTGTGGCATGGCCAGAAAAATAAAAGCTACAATGAGATTACTACCTCACACAAGTCAGAATGGACATAATCAAAAAATCAACAAACAATAAATGCTGGAGAGGGTGTGGACAAAAGCAAACCCTGCTGCGCTCTTGGTGGGAATGTAAACTGGTACAGCCACAATGGAGAACAGTATGGAGGGTCCTTAAAAAGTAAAAATAGAGCTGCCATATGACCCTGCAATCCTACTCCTGGGCATATATCCAGAGAAAACAATAATTCTAAAAGATACATGCACCCCAATGTTTATTGTAGCAATATTTAGAGCCAGGACATGGAAGCAACCTAAATGTCCATTGATAGATGAATGGAAAAAGAAGATGTGGTATATATATAAAATGGAATATTATGCACCCATAAAAAAGAACAAAATAATGCCATTTGCAGCAACATGGATGGACCTAGACATGATCATACTGAGTGAAGTAAGTCAGAAAGAGAAAGGCAAATATCATATGATATCGCTTATATGCAGAATCTTAAAAAAAGATACAAATGAACTTACCAACAAAAGAGAAACAGACTCACAGACTTAGAGAACAAACTTACGGTTACTGGGAGGGATAGATTGGGAGTCTGGGATTGACGTGTACACACTACTATGTATGAAGTAGATAACCAACCAGGACCTACTGTAGAGCTACCTAAAGGGAACTCTGCTCAATATTCTTTAATAATCTAAATGGGAAAAGAATTTGAATAATAATAGATACATTTATATGTATAACTGAATCACTTTGCTGTACACCTGAAACTAACACATTGTTAATCAGATGTGCCCCAATATAAAAAAAAATTTTTTTTAAATGACACGTTAGACCAGATGGACTTAACTGATACTTATAGAACATTCTATCCAAAAGCAGCATAATACATTCTTCTCAAGTGCACATGGAACATTCTCCAGGATAGATCATATCTTGGGCCACAAATCAAGCCTTGGTAAGTTTAAGAAAACTGAAATCATAGCAACCTTCTTTTCTGGCCACAACTCTATGAGGTTAGAAATCAATTACAGGAAAAAAAAACTCTAAAAAACACAAACTCGGGGAGGCTAAACAATATGTTACTAAACAACCAGTGGATAATTGAAGAAATCAAAGAGGAAATTTAAAAATACCTAGTGACAAATGACAATGAAAATACAACAATTCAAAATCTGCAGGATGCAGCAAAAGCAGTTTTAAGATGGAAGTTTATAGCAGTATAATCTTACTTAAGAAAACAAGAAAAATCTCAAATAAACCACCTAACCTTACACCTAAAACAACTGGAGTAAGAACAAACAAAACCCAAAGTTAGTAGAAGAAACTAAATCATAATGATCAGAGCAGAAATAAATGAGAGAGAAGAATAAAACAATAGTGAAGATCAATGACACTAAAAGCCGGTTCTTTGAAAAGATACACAAAATTGATAAACCTCTGGCCAGATGCATCAAGAAAAAAAGGAAGAGGGCTCAAATCAATAAAATTCGAAATGAAAAAGGAGAAGTTACTACTAACACCACAGAAATACAAAGGATCATGAGAGACTACTACAAGCAACTCTGCCAATAAAATGGACAAGCTGAAAGAAATGCACAAATTCTTAGAAAAGTACAACCTTCCAAGACTGAACCAGGAAGAAATAGAAAATATGAACAGATCAATCACAAACACTGAAACTGAAACTGTGATTAAAAGTCTTCCAACAAACAGAAGTCCAGGACCAGATGACTTCACATGGGGATTCTATCAAACATTTAGAGAAGAGCTAACACCTATCCTTCTCAAACTCTTCCAAAATATGGCAGAGGGAGGAATACTCCCAAATTAATTCTGCAAGGCCACCATCACCCTGATACCAAAGCCAGATGTCACAAAAAAAAGGAAACTACAGGCCAGTATCACTGATGAACATAGATGAAAAAATCCTCAACAGAATACTAGCAAACAGAATCGAACAACACATTAAAAGGATCATACACCATGATCAAGTGGGGTTTATCCCAGGAATGCAGGGATTCTTCAGTATAACCAGATCAGTGTGATACACCATATTAACAAATTGAAGAATAAAAGCTATATGATAATCTCAGTAGATGCAGAAAAAGCTTTTCACAAAATTCAACACCGATTTATGATAAAAACTCTCCAGAAAGTGGGCAAAGAGGGAACCTACCTCAACATAATAAAGGCCATATACAACAAACCCACAGCCAACATTATTCTCAATGGTGAAAAACTGAAACCATTTCCTTTAAGATCAGGAACAAGACAAGGGTTCCCACTGTCACCACTATTATTCAATAGAGTTTTGGGTTCCCACTCTCACCACTATTATTCAATATAGTTTTGGAAGTTTTAGCTGTGGCAATCAGAGAAGAAAAAGAAATAAAAGGAATCCAAATCAGAAAAGAAAAAGTAAAGCTGTCACTGTTTGCAGATGACATGATACTATACATAGAGAATCCTAAATATGTTACCAGAAACTACTAGAGCTCATCAATGAATTTGGTAAAGTAGCAGGATACAAAATTAATGCACAGAAATCTCTTGCATTCCTATACACTAACAATGAAAAATCAAAAGAGAAATTAAGAAATCACTCCCATTTACCATTGCAACAAAAAGAATGAAATACCTAGGAATAAACCTACTTGAGACAAAAGACCTGTATGCAGAAAACTATAAGACACTGATGAAAGAAATCAAAGACTATACAAAGAGATGGAGAGATATACCATGTCCTTGGATTGGGAGAAAAATGATTATACTACCCAAAGCAATATACAGATTCAGTGCAATCCCTATCAAACTACCAATGGCATCTTTCAAGGAACTAGAACAAAAAATTTTACAATTTGTATGGAAACACAAAAGATCCCGAGTAGCAAAAGCAATCTTGAGAAAGAGAAACAGAGCTGAAGGAATAAGGCTTCTTGACTTCAGACTACACTACAAAGCTACAGTGATCAAGACAGTATGGTACTGGAACAGAAACAGAAATATAGATCAATGGAACAGGATAGAAAGCTCAGAGATAAACCCACAAATCTACAGTCAATTAATCTACGACAGAGGAGGTAAGACTACACAAGGGAAGAAAGACAGTCTCTTCAATAAATGGTCCTGGGAATACTGGACAGCTACATGGAAAAGAATGAAATTAGAACACTTCCTAACACCATACAGAAAAATAAACTCAAAATGGATTAAAGACCTAAACGTAAGGCCAGACACTATAATACTGTTCAAGGAAAACATAGGCAGAACACTCTATGACATAAATCACAGCAAGATCCTTTTTTACCTACCTCTTAGAGTAATGGAAATAAAAACAGGAAGAAACAAATGGGACCTAATGAAACTTAAAAGCTTTTGCACAGCAAAGGAAACCATAAACAAGATCAAAAGACAACCCTCAGAATGGGAGAAAATATTTGCAAATGAAGCAACTGACAAAGGATTAATTTCCAAAATTTACAAGCATCTCATGCAGCTCAATATTAAAAAAACAAACAACCCAATCCAAAAATGGGCAGAAGACCTAAATAGACATTTCTCCAAAGAAGATATACAGATTGCCAACAAACACATGAAAGAATGCTCAACCTCACTAATCATTACAGAAATGCAAATCAAAACTACAATGAGGTATCACCTCACACCAGTCAGAATGGCCATCATCAAAAAATTTACAAAGAATAAATGCTGCAGAGGCTGTGAAGAAAAGGGAACCCTCTTGCACTGTTGGTGGGAATGTAAATTGATACAGCCACTATGGAGAACAGTATGGAGGTTCTTTAAAAAACTAAAAATAGAACTACCATATGACCCATCAATCCCACTACTGGGCATATACCCTGAGAAAACCATAGTTTAGAAGGACACATGTACCCCAATATTTATTGCAGCACTATTTACAATAGGCAGGACATGGTAGCAACCTAAATGTACATCGACAGATGAATGGATAAAGAAGATGTGGCACATATATACAATGGAATATTACCATAAAATGAAACGAAACTGAGTTATTTATAGTGAGGTGGATGGACCTAGATTCTGTCATATAGAGTGAAGTAAGCCAGAAAGAGGAAAACAAATACTGTATGCTAACGCATATATATGGAATCTAAAAAGAAATGGTTCTCCTGAACCTAGGGGCAGGACAGGAATAAAGACACAGAGATAGAGAATGGACTTGAGGACACAGGGAGGGGGAAGGGTAAGCTGGGACAAAGAGAGAGTAGCATTAACATATATACACTACCAAATGTAAAATAGATAGCTAGTGGGAATCAGCTGCATAGCACAGGGATATCAGCTAGGTGCTTTGTGACCACCTAGAGGGGTGGGATAGGGATGGTGGGAGGGATGCTTAAGAGGGAGGGGGTATGGGGACATATGTATACAAGTAGCTGGTTCACTTATACAGCAGAAACTAACAAAACATTGTAAAGCAATTATACTCCAATAAAGATGTAAAAAAAAATATCGTATGATAAACCATAATGGAAAAGAATATTTAAAAAAAGAATGTATATATAGGTATAACTGAATCACTTTGCTCTACAGCACTAATTAACACAACAATGTAAATCAGCTATAATTCAATTAAAAAATATGTAAAGAAAAAAAGTAAATTTTGCTTTCAGGTAGGGTGGAACAGTGTGCAGCACACCAGTATCCCATCTAAGAAGAAATAGAAATCTGTACAAAATTTTAAAATATTTATCTCTTCCATTTTAGTGACACATGAATTATATAATACAGAATACATATAACATTATTATATATATCTTTGTATATGTATGTACACACACACACATTATAGATATAGAGGAAGGCTGGAGGTAGACAGAATTTTATCAAAATTACAACCCAGCATCAATTTAGCACAGTCTCTGATTTGATTAAGGTTGTCATCCGTCATTCTTTCTACCTAGCAGAGGAAAAGGAAAGAGGAATATAACATTATAGATGACTCTATAATTTTTTGAAATCAAGAATTAGAATTCAATAAAAATAACTGGCAAAGCCAAGAGAGAAGATCATACCAATGAAAAACCAGAGATCAGATAGATAGCAGAAACCAATTCACAGGTGGTTCAGGTATGGGCCACTACTAGACAAGGACCACTATAATTTGGTTATTAGTTTTGTTTGTTGATTTCAAGGAACATAAACATAGTCTCTCTCAAGTAACCTCATGAGCCGCCCTTTATTTCCCTCTCGATGCTCTATGTATCTGCTCAGTCTCTTTTCTTTTTAAATCAGTTCATATAAGACAAATATACTGATTTATTTTATGTTTATATTTAAAAAAAGCATACAAAAAATGAAACAACATATGCCATTTACAATAGCTTAAATATCCTAAATATTTAGAAATAAATTTAAGAACCTCTGCATTGAAAATTATGAAATATTAGGAAAAACTAAAGAATTAAATAAGTGGAAAGACATATAGCATGTGGAAGACTCAATGTTCTCAAGATGTCAGTTCTTCATAAGCTGATTTTATAGATTCAATGCAAACCCAATTAAAGTCCTAACAATATTTTTTGTGTAAATTGACAGTTGTTTATAAAATGGAAATGAAAGTGCAAAGGACTAAGAATAGTCAAGGCAATTCTGAACAAAAACAAAGCTAGAAGACTTACATAACCAGAAATCCAGACCTTTTACAAATTTATAGTTATTGAAACAATGATAATATAGTGTAGTTACCTGATTTACAGCAAAGGTGCCACTGCAGTGCAATAGAGAAAGGATGATCTTTTAAATAAGTTCTGCTGGTTCTTGTGGATATCCATTTGGTTAAAACACACATTTTTAAAACCCTGCCCAGTGTATATAAAACCAATACCCAGTGTATACAAAAACCAATTCTATATGGATTATAGATCTAAATATAAAAGGTAAGACAGGGACTTCCCTGGTGGTCCAATGGTTAAGACTTACCTTTCAATGCAGGAGGTGTGGGTTTGATCCCTGGTCAGACAGCTAAGATCCTACGTGCCTTGCAGCCAAAAAAACAAAACATAAAACAGAAACAATATTGTAACAAATTCAATAAAGACTTAAAAGTTAAGACAAAGATCTTAAAGAAAACAGAAGATATCTCTTTATAACATAAGATATCTCTACAAACTGTTTTAAACAGGGCACAAAATGTAATCAACATAATGGAAAAAAAATGGGAAAGGTAGCATATTACTACTAAAAACTTCTGCTCAACAAATTACAATATTAAAAAAGCAAAAAAGGGAACCCAAGAGTGGTAGAAAATATTTGCAGTAATAGGTCAGGATTATATAAAAGACTCCTGAAAAATCATAAGAAAAAAGAATGATAATGCAGTGGAATAATGATCAGAAGTCTTGACAGGCACTTCAAAACATACTCAAATTTCCGGTAAACATATAACTGGATGCTCAATTTCATGAGTCATCAGGGAAATACAAATTAAATCTATAATGTAATACCACTATCCACCCTTCAGAATGAGTAAAATGGTGGCAGGGGATAACAACTTCTGGCAAAGATGAGGCTAAACTGTAGTTCTCATGTACTGATAACAAAAATGTAAATCGTTTCAGCTACTGAATAAATCTTTGGAGGTATCTACTAAAGTTGAATGTATGCGCAAATGGATAGGTATAGTCACAAAGGATATTTAGAAGAACATTTATAAAAGCCCCAAACTGGAAACAACTGAAATATCCATCAGTGACAAAATGATTACATTTTGTTACATATTGCTATATACATAATAATATGGTGCATTTCACAAAAGTAATGTTATGTGAAATAAGTCAGACCTCAACCCTGCCCAAAAGACCCTACTAGTCATCTCCATACATTACTAAAGTACATACATTTATGAGTGAACCTATTTCCAGAGAAGGACAGATGATTCTCTTACAAGGTCAAATAAAACTGACTTGTAGTACTAGAAGTCAGAAATGTTTATCCTTTGGAGGCGTGAGAAGTTGGGACAAGGGAGCCTTTTTAGAGTGCTGATGAAGTTCATTTCCATTATCTGGATGTTACATGGGTATGTTTACTGAGCTGAAAACTTACAGTATGTACATTCCTCCAAATGTATGTCATACTTTACCACTTACTGAAGTACACACTTATTTTCCTATGATAGAACCAAAATTCAGCCCTTTAGAAGCAAATCTTGTGATCTAACCATATTCTTCATTGAAACCCCATGCTTTGGGACAGGAGTTTGTAATGACAGCTATATAATTGCAAAGGCTTCAGAAAAAAAGGAAAAGCAGGTGATGGAAACATCAATTTATCATTGAATTTTTTGGTCAACAAATAGATGTATAAATTCTAAATAAACAGATGTATCTGCTGGTAGGCACTCTAACAGTAAAGGAACCTAGAGATTTCTCCCCTACCCTAATTGGCAAATATTTACTTTTTTCTGAGTAAAAGACTTTCCTAAATGTTTAAGCAGTTGAACTCAATTCTTTGATAGATAACAGGGTAAAAAAAAAAAAAAAGACTATATACTCTACAGATCTTTATGTACTATTTACTTAAGTCCTTTTAAAAGGTATTATTTTTAAGATTTCTTGAAATTCCTGACCTGAGTCATCTCTGTGATATATCACACCCTGTCACATCAAGTTAACTTACATTGGATAAAGAGAAGAAAGGTTATAAACTTAGCATGCATACCACCTGACGTAAAACATTTGCCAGCTATTTCTTCTGCTTAAATGAATGCATTCCAAATATCTAGACTATTACCTATAAAAACTATAAATTTTATTAAAAAATAATGAAACAGTCATCTCTACACATTATTATAGTGCATACATTTATGAGTACACCTAATTCTAGATAAGGAAAGAGTTTTACTAGAAACAACATGTTTCTCTTTCACATTTTGTCTTCACCTTTGACCCTGCATATGAATGTATGTGCATAAACTTGTTTTACTTCCTTCTTAGAGGCAGTCTGACCAGGAACACGGTAACTATCTAATTATGGAATTTAGAAAATAAAGAAAAAATAACTAACTGAATTTTAACACATTTGCCCCGAAGTATTTACAGTGCTTAGGTTAACATGCCATTTGTTATGAAAAAGTTTTATGAAGATCTAAACACTTTTACTTCTGATTACTAAGGCAACATGAAATGAGAAGTTCATAAGAATTTCAGGTAATGTAGGAAAAAATAATTTTTCTGACTGAAGCAATCACTCTTCACCCACACTTAATGGTCTCCACTAATGTAAATTATTTAGCTACATTATTAGCAAATTTACTGTAATAATGCCTCTATCTCATTTTGTTATTATAAATACATCTTTAAATCAACATACCCACTGAATGAACAAGTCAATTTCCTTTAACTTTGGAGAAATTGCTGAAGTTTACCACTGAATAGGTGAATGAACTGTTCAGCTCAAAGGCTAAGGTAAAGAAATTCAGTTCCACAATAGTACTATAATCTTCCAGCTCACTGCTCAAAGTTATTATAGAGATTGTATGACACACTGCTCAAAGCTACTTTCCTGCATTATGCTATGAAAATGGTGTACCTGCTCGTGTTTGGCACTGTTAGGATAATATGGTAAACAAAGATGACAAAGAAAACCTTCTATCTTTTTTTTAATACCAAAAAAAACTCAAAAAAAGAAATCCCACAAAAAGCAAAACAACTCAAAAATAAGTAAAAAGTAACATTAGGCAGTAAGGAATATGGGAAATTACAGTGGATTTGAAATAAAAAAGAATGGCAAAGTGGTTCGGAGTATGAGATTAGGAGTCAAATAGGAATGGTTTTAAATTCTGCTTCTGTCACTTTGAGTCTCTGTCCTTACTTATAAATGGGAAAACTAATACTTAACTCTTACGGTTGGTTGTTATAAATGTGAAACATGACAGTAATTGCAGAGCTTAGCACTATGCTGGGTAAATAACATGTGTTAGTATATAGTAATTTTTATTTTTGATGAAGATTGGTTCCTTTATTCTCCTACCCTGATAATAGTCCATTTCTAGATTCAGCACAGTAGAGAAGTTACAAACACATGCTTTGAGAAAAAAGGACTTATGTGTAACAATCTTTCTGCATCATACTTCCTTCATCTAAGATTACTGTGACCATTTAATGAGATAATGCATGGTCTTCAACATATTCTCCAGTTTATAGTATGTATTTGATAAATGGTGGCTAAAATCATAAGACCTGAATTCTGGCTCTAGCTGTTGCACTGATGAGTATGTAATTATGTAAACAAGGCACTCAGCCTTTCTGAATTTCATGCAAAAAATGGGCATAACATCTGTCCTGTTTATCTTTTAGGGTTGCTGAGATAATAAAATGATGCAGGTAAGCACGTAGAAAACGGGAAAGCCCATAAAAATGGATGGTGTTACTATACTTCTGATGGCAGTTTAGAGGTTAAGTACCATAAAAATGGGATTTAAAAATCTTTTTTATATAATCAAGAAAGCTGTGCTTGACTCTTGTTTCACAGACAATACACAAGTGATGAACATTATAATAGAAGCACCATTTTTCTCTGTTGAGATTAATTTATTGTACTCAGGATCAGAAAAGTTACTTAAAGTGAATATTTTGTCTTGTTCAACCTAACACTTTGATTTATATACATTGTAGTATAGAGTATATGACAAGTAGATTGAAGGTTTTTGTTATGCAGAAAGGCCTTCTTTGACCTCAGGAATTCACTAACAGGAATGATACATTATTATGTTATAAGATTAACTACAACTGGTAAAGCCCTTTAAAAGTGAAAAACACTCTATAAATGCTTAGTATTTATAGCTACTAACATCTAATAAGGTTAAGCTCTTCTTCAAAATGAGCTACTGCTTGATGAGTTGGTTTTTAAATAAGCTGACATGCCACAAGTGGCAGCTGCTATATCATGTGAGTGATTTCATGATTATTGCAATCATTAGAATGTCTATTATTAGTTATAATTATTGATTGATTATTCCTTTAAGATTATTATTGTCTCAGAAAACTGAGGCACCGAAAAGTGAAATAATCCGTTTGATTCCACTCATCAAGCTAGCACAGCATAAGGCTCAAGCTTCTGGAAAACCCCTGAGGTGCTGATGCTGTACAGCTGCTGTCCAATATGGTAACTACTATTAAGTGTGGCTATTGAACTCTTCAAACATGGCTAGTAAGACTGAGGAAAAAATTTTTAAATTTCATTTATTTAAAAAATTTTAAATTTAAAAACTGATACTCAGTTCAGTAATTGTAAAACTTTTAAGGATGTATGGACCAACTTGGGTACATGAAATTACTTCTTCAACTGAAAACTTTATGAAATCTAAATACACATAAAGTATTTCTGATGAAAATTTAACATCTAATTTGAGATGTACTTTTAACATACAGTAGAAAATTTAAGGGTATGTGGCTTGCATTGTATTTCTGTTGGACAACATTGCTATATAGGTTCAAAGACAAACAATAAATTATGTATGATATGGACCCTACACCCTCTTATATCCATCTGGAGAAGGATATATGAATGTTCAAAATTCAGTTCCAGGAACTGAATCAGGAACAGTTATAGGTCTTTTCTTTGATAGTGGACACTTGGCTTCAGGAACCATAACCTGGGATTACCTCAGTTACGTGCTGTTAAATTACTAACAACCAGCTCCCAAAATCAACCAGTTTCTTGATTTCTGTGGTGTAAATTATTCCTACCATGGCCAGTTTTGAGCTACCAACATGATGTCCCTGAACTTAGAATTGGGGAGAGATACCCTTAATTGGCACTTGGAAGGCCACAGGAGCCAGCCCTAGTGCATCACTGGAATACTTTATGAGTTCCTGACATCTGTATTTCTTGAAAGTTTTGTAGGTATGTATGTCTGTTGTGGGGGCTGAAGTAGATCGGCTTTAAACTGAGTTCTACCCCATAGCAAATTGTAGGATGATTAGACCTGGGAATGAAGGGCATTTTATTTTCTTTAAGCCTAAGGGATGTAAGTCACTAGAAAAACCCTGACTCTTCCTTTACTCCCATTGAGAATACAGATTTATGGTTACATGAAGCCATTTTGTGAACTATAAAATGGTTAAAAGCAGGTAAACATACTAAATTTTGATAAGACAGATGCATGATTTTAACTCATAAACTTTATATACTAACTGTATAACAAATACTTTCTTTTGCAAAGAGACATCTTGGGGACATGGTAAGAATATAGGAAGAATTGATATAAATTCTGACACATTGTGAAGAGAATTTAATACATGTAAAATATCTGTAAGACTTCCAAATTCAGCTCTAAAGTTCAATAATTTTATGACTTTTGTTAGCGACTATATGTGAAATCATTCTGTTTATTTAGAAGTTACTCAGTTTCTGTATTAGCTCCTTTGCTTGGACACCCTGATGTTACGTCTCATGCTAGAGTAAATTTCTGCATAAAGTAAGTCTTTTAAAGGCAGTATTTAAGAGGATTTAATTCAAAAGTATTTTTTTTAAGATTTTTTTTTGATATGGACCACTTTTAAAGTCTTTATTGAATTTGTTACAATACTGCTTCTGTTTTATGTTTTGTTTTTTTGGCCATGAGGCATGTGGGATCTTAGCTCCCTGACCAGGGATCAAACTCACACCCCTTGCACTGGAAGGCGAAGTCTCAACCACTGCACTGCCAGGGAAGTCCCCAAAAGTGTTTTTGAATAAAGCAGTTCACCTTCTAAGAGAATATTCAAACTTATTTTTTCAGTATGGGTTTGTACTATTAGGTGGATATGCATAAATGATTTGTTTTTCAGAGTCGTATGTTGTCTAGAATTTTGCAGTGTTTTAATTTGGGTTCTGTCTAATCATATGTCATCATATACGTAGAATTTTAGTGCTGAAAAGATTTAGACTCTTCTAGTTATATCTTATCTTATAGTTGAGCAAACTGAGACCCCAAAAAGTGACTTAAGATGTCAGATGGTTAGTCTTGACTAGTTTAACTAAAACTAGAACTCAGCTTTCCTGACTGCCACCTTAGTAATCTTAAAGTTTGTAGCATCGTACTGCATGAATCTATTTGTCTATCCACATTTCAGGATTATTGGTACAAATTTTTTTTGCTGTACTCCATACTAGCCAAGTTAGCACATATTCCATTTATTCTTATCTTCATGGTTTCATTAGCTACTCTTAATATAACATACCAATCCTCAGGCAAAATTCTTCATTATTTACTTGCAGAAAATGTAACTGGGAACAATTCTGTCCTGTATCAGCACAGTTTACTAGTCTAACTAATAAGTAAGTCAGAGAAGAAGGTTTGAGACATTGACTCCTTTCTGAAAAGGAGAAAAAGTAGGGGAAAGCCCAAATAGTTTAATGTTTGCACTTTTCTCCATAGGAAAAGATTATTGTTATCTTTTGCTAAGTTACTGTAAATTTATGACTAGGTGAGTCCTGAAAAGATGACACCTTGTTTCATAATATTGTGTATTTCAGAATTCAAAAACATGTTAAATATTTAAATGATAGAAAGGTTTGACCTCAAAATCAATACCTAATTTAGAGAAAATCTATATGTAAGGCAATTAAGAATTGATATTACTTAATATGTCACATTGTGTGATTGACAACATTATGTCACTACAGAAAGTAACAAAGTTTGGATAATCATGCATTCTTAGGAATTTTACTGAAAACTTTGTCTCTTTTAAGTTATACAAGTGATACAGTCTTGTGTAGATCTCTGCAGCTAAGCAAAGCAGTTAGTCTTTGATGCACTTATAATTATGAAGGGTTTAATAATTATGAAGGGTTTAGGGTTATGTCTTTTGACAAAGACGCCTAGATAGGTGGGAAGGTATAGGTCAAAACTGACATCATGACACAATTAATATAAGATAGGTAAAGTAGAGCCAAAATTAGGTTGGCATGAATACATCTCCTAAGTCAAACAAGTAATATAGCTTCTAAACCACAATGTAGGTAAACAGTTAACCACAAC